CATCAAAAGGGTCATTCAATCCGCGAAGGGGTCTCGACCCACAGGTCGAGAACCACTGCGCTAGTGAGTTCTTTGTGGGTGCTTAATACAGAGTTCTTACAGACACCTGAAAACATGATATAACAAACCTTCTCAAATGAACGTTGTTGAATAAAGAAATCACTCACTTTCAAGGGACCAGCTGTCCTCTGATTTCCTAGACTTGGCCATTGCTAATTTTGACTAGCCGCTCAAAATGTGGGCCAATAAAGACGATTCCATCCTCATCCTATGCGTCCTTACATCTCCCTCGTTGTTAGCCAGCAGACTATGTCAGGGACGCAATTAAACACCTTCACTTGTTTCACTGCCCCATTAATTCCCGCTAGTGACTATATCCATTTACATTTTCTTTGGCTTAAAAAAAAAATATTTGGGACTCTAATATCTTTGATCAACCAGATTCCACCCCCATTCCACTTCATTTTTGGGACGTGTTAGCTTGAGTTGATTTCCACAATTTGCAGTGATCCCGTGGGCTCAGCGGGTGTCTTCCTGGGTGGCCATTCCCACCTACCTCCGGTCGGTGGGGTACAGCTCCACAGTGACCACGTCAAGGGAGTTCCAGGCGGAGATGGTCAAGCCATTGTAGAGACACAGCATGCCTATCATCATCGACTCACTGGTGCCAAACCAAAGGAAGAAACAGCTGATTCCCGAAAGCACCATAGAGCCACCTGGCAGGCAAAGCAGACACAATGTTGGAATGTTTCCCATTGCCTTAGCAGAGCGAGGGCGCCCTGTCTTTGAGACCTTGCAGCGAGTGACTTGTGAGACCAAGCCGCTGCCAAGGGGAGCGCTTCCAAGGGGAGCGGCAGGCTAGACTTCCTCAAGCCCAGGGACAGATGAGTTTCTCCTACATGCAAGGCTCACTGCACTAACCGCCTTCTGAACACAGCAAGTAGGAAATGCAAATCATCAATGATTCGACTGGTTAAGTGGGAAAATATATGTTAGTTACACCTCATTAGCTTTTCAGTGTGTTAATTCATGGAAGCAGCTCAACTGTAATGTTATTAGACACCGTGTTCACTAAAAATTGGCCCTAATGCAAGGATTTAAGGGATTTCTCCTCATTGCTGAGAGATGCATATCCCCAAGGTGAGAAGAGGGGAGGTTTGGTGGGAAGCTGGTTCCCTCTAGACTGCAGGAGCAGCTCATTTATTTTACATAAAACCCAGTACATACCGAGCATCGTTAAACGCCCAATCCTGTCCATTAGGAGCGCAGACACGATGTTCCCGGGCAGCACTGCCAAGGTGCCCAAGAAGTTGACAAAGTAAATCCAGTAGGCACTATAGTCATCATCAAAGGTGATCTGGCAGCCCGTCTTATTGTGATAAAAGGAGCAGTTTTGAAATGTACTGTCAATGAATTTATATGGCTCAAAATCTGGGGAAACAAAAACAGACAAGTCACCAAACCCTTCACAGACCTACACCTGGATGTGCACGCCTGTTGAGAATTCAGAAGAGAACCATTGTTTTGTACACCCTTGAAGGCTTCAGGACCTGGGTCAGTTGGATTGTTTGTGTTTTCTCTTGGCTTTCTCAAGGGGCAGAGCACATCTGGCTCTCGGGGTGGGCAAGGCTCTCAAAATCATCCATACCAGCTAACATCACACGCTTCCCCCAAGAGAAGCAGGCCTCGCCATTCACAACAAACTGAAAAGCCAAACTCACTGCCACCGAATCCATGCTGACTCATGGCGACCCCACAGGACAAGGTCGAACTGCCCCTGTGGATTTCTGAGTCGAAAGCTTCCTCCTCCTCCCAGGGAGCAGCTGGTGATTTTGAAACACTGACCTTGTAGGTAGCAGCCCAAAGCATAGCCACTCCACCACCAAGGCTCCTTCCTATGAGGGGTGAGTTAATTAAATGACCAAATATAGTAGGCAAATTTTCAAGTTGATAATTTTTCATGTCCCTCAAATGTTATCGATCCAAATGGCCCATGGCAGAAAAAAGGCTCCCACCTCTCCTTTAGTAAGACCAAACACTTACAAAGTCACTGATGAAGAACTGTGTCAAATAATGAAATAGCTCGCTTTCAAGAGTCCGGCTATCTTCTGATTCCTATAGTTGGCCATTGCTAATTTTATTACTTGCTTACTTCATGACAATGTTATATTCTTCTGATTGTCATGTTACATAAGGCCTATCATCACCATACTAATAACTTCCATACTGCAATTATAAAAAAAATTTGTTTTAAAATGCACAGTGCATCCGCCTTATCAAGGCCCTTTTATGGGACACTGAGACATGGAGAAGGAACACAGCTTTCCTTCAGTCTTTGAAGCGCAACTGGAAATTTAAGGTTGAAGAGGATGGATTCATTGAAGACCGAAAGTCTCATTTTAAGGCCGTGGGTATACACAGCTGATTTTATCTTGAACTTGGATTGCTCCAAGGGGATGCAGCTAATAGCGAGTACTGTTAAAAGACCCTGAGCATCAAACTCATCATCTCCTCTTCCTTGCTGATCTAAGTCTCCCGGAAAAACAGGTCTTCTGAGGCTGAATAGGTTAGACAGCAGTGTTTCAAAACAAGACAAAACAAAACCACCCAAACTCATGGATATTTGGAGCTGGCCCCGTCTGAGCCCCAAGAGGGAGAATTTTCTGATAGTGCTGGATTCTGACAGCGGACTCTATTTCAGGATCAACCCATGTGCAGGCGTGGGCAAAGCATGGGCTTGGATTTTGGAAAACCTGAGTTCAAAGCCAGCTCTGTTGTGAGTTTTATGGCAGTGGCCAAATGTCTCAAGTTTCATTAGCCTCAGCTACTGTGAACACTCAGTGAGCTAGAGTAGAAATCAGCATATAGAAATGCTCAATCAATCCCCCCTCTTTTTTTTAATCCTAGGGCTTTTTCCAGACGCCACTAGATAGACTGGCTAAAGAAAATGGAGTCTGATAAGGACAGCTGTATTTTGCTCATCTCTATGGATCATGGATTCCAGGTCTCCTCATTTCTCACACTTCTGTTTCTCACATCTTATCGTTAATAGTTATGAACTCTATATAGTGTCCAAGGGAGGAAGATGGGGCTTTCTACTCCTGTACAGAGTTACAATCTTGGAAACCCACAGGGGCAGTTCTACCCTGTCCTATAGAGGTGCTAACAGTTGGCGTTGGCTTGATGGTGGTAAGTTTGTTTTTTTTGGTTTATATACAATGTCACAGTGCACAGTTTGCTGGTATCATCATATCAGTAATGGCATATGTCATATTTCCAGCCCTCAAAGACAAATAAAGATCAGATTTCCAAGGATATTGATAATAAAAGGCAATAATGAGATCTTAGAAAAAGAGGTATTCAACATACATCAGAACTGGTTTATCCCTATAACACCGTGTGCTACATTTTTGTAACATTTAATTAACTGTATATATTAATATATATATTGATAACTATGAAAGTAAAGAATAAAAACAATTTCCCCCTGAAATTAAAAATTCAGACATTATAGAGATATAATCATTACTTGGCCATCTGGCTAAGATCAAGTGTAGAACTGATTTATAACGGAGTTGTTGGAACTAACCCCATTGTAAACTGAGGACATACTTGTACCAGGTTCTGAAACCAAGATCATCAAAATAAATACACTACAAGTTAGGTCTTTACTTTAAGAAATATGAATCAAAGGATCTTTATTCAACTTTGAGCTTTAGCACACAATACAAGCATCATTTTGATCCAAGCTGATTTGGGGATCTTGTTCCTTTGCCCTTGAGTCTCCACTTCCCACATGAATCTGCCCAGGAGATGACATGGGTCCCATGTTTCTGCCAAGAGCTGGGCCCTTTGATGAGGCAGGAGCACACCTACCGGTGTTGTCGAAAACAGTGTCCGTAAAGGTGCAGTTCTGGAAGTAGGTGTTGAGCGAAGTCACATCCTGAAAGGTGCAGGTCTTAAAAGCTGCATCTTTGAACGTCACAGATTTGAACTTGACCCCTAGGAATCTGACCAGTATCATAAAGGAAGAAGAGAACAAAATCTTTGTCAATGCTTTGTGTCCCTCAGGGTTTGACTCTAAATCACAGAGGTCAGAGGTGTGATGCCTCTCAGAGTCGTCCGTTACTACAGGGGTACAGGGGTCTTCATTTTCTACACGGTACTTCCTGGGGGTGGGGTGTTGGAACGATTCAGAGGGGTGGGGGGCTGCAAAAGCAGATACCCACACTTTATCCTGGATGATGGGCTGTAGTACAGACATTTTTAATTGTCCGGGAGGCACTGAGTAATTTTTTTTTTCTGAAAAGGGTGAGCCAAGTAAGTTTGGGGACCTATGATGTGCAGTCTGACCATCTCATTGCACCACAGCCTCACTTTCAACAAGCAGAAAAGAGGAAACTCAAGATGACTCCGTCGACCTTGTCTACCATGTTGGTGAAAGGCTTTGAGGGTTACCTGATCCTTTATTTTTCAACCCGACCCTCTTGTTCCTTCACATATGTTTGAGAACTCTGTCTTTGGGGTGAATGGCCCCAACTTGAGGGCCATTTTAATGAAAATGAAGTGTGTTTAATGGGGTCCCTGGGAGGAGCCTTGGGCTGTTAACAGAACAAAGAGGGGTTCTGGTCCATCAGAGGCATGCTGGAAGAAAGTCCTGATGCTCAACCTCTGAGAAATCAGCACCCCAAGCCCTGTGGGGCACAGTTCCACTGCGATACCCCAGGGGATGCCAGTAGTCCAAGGAGAAAACCCTCTGCAGTCCGGTCGATTCTGAGTCCCCGCTAACCCACAGACACTGTGCAACCAGCCCACAGTTTCCACGCGGCCAGCCGCCAAGAAAGCACAGTGCTGTGCCTTTCTTTCTTAGAGTGCCTGGTGGGTTCTGTTGACACTGGAGTGCTTTAACCACAGTGCCACCAGGGCCCCTGGTGCTGCTGTGAACCCCAGACCCACTACCGGAGTGCCAATTTTAACTCACAGTGACCTCTCTCTTTCCCCTACTCTCCTTATTCTTCCCCTTAACTTATGTTTGCTGTGCTTCTGGGGCTCTCCACATTGTCTTCTCACACACATCAGGTACGCCACTTAGCACACATGAGGACATCCCACTCCAGAAGTATTTTCACGTGAAGTGACTAAAATATAGCTACCGAGTTTATTTTTAAAGCTCATTTGGAAGTATCCAAACTCAGCCTGAACACGACTAAGTGTACAAACTGAAAACAAGAGTGCATTTCCATGCAGGCAAGGCTAATGGGAAATAACCCTCAGGGTTGGTGACCCGGCAGCCAAATCGAGTGATTTCAAAGTTTCTTCACCTGCCATTCTCGTATTCCACACCGGTATGAATCTGGTTTTCCATGGTGAAGTTAATACTGAAATTTGCATATTTCTCTCGCTCCACTTTTTTGACTTGCAATGCATATTCATCTGACTGTAGATGTTTGATGACATCAGGGAACCAAACAGATAATCCATAGTACCTGCAAAGAGAAAGCAAAAGGGGTTTGGAAACGTCTTAACACATTAGTGGGACCCCAACACTTTACGAGAAGCACCTCCAATGTTGGCTGGCCCCCTGTAATATCATGAACACAGTAACCTACCCCTGGTCTACCACCTGCCACCCCCATGCCCCACAATTTTGACTCTGCATATATCAAGCTAGAGAACTGGCCTGGGGCTTGGGGCTTGGCTGGGACCTGCAGCAGGCTTGTCATGCCCGGACCCTCTTGGAGACTAGAGCGGCAGAAACAATCTGCTCGTGTCCTCCCACCTGGCATCTTGGCTCTGCTGCCTTTCTGCCGTCTGAGGCTGCACCAAGATACCTCTCTGCTCATTCGCACTCCTCGGCTCTTTGAGGGTTGGTGAGGCATTCCTCCTTGGTGAGAATACAAAATCTTTCTTGGTTTTTATGCTAGGCTGCTATTGCTAGCCTGGTGGTAGAGCCTAGTCCCCCAAATTGATCAGGGCAGTGAACAGGAACATTCAGGTTTATTAGCTGAGAATACATGCTATTACCACATTCTGCCCTTTTGACAGCTAATGTGTCATTCTAACAGGTAACAGCTGGTCACACTGCTGCCCTGCCCAGCATAGTAGCCGCTGACCAACCACATGCGGCTGCTGGATAGTGGAAATGGGGCGGATCTCAACTGAGCTTTGCTGTTCAGTGTAAACATGCACGTAGAGTTTTGAAGACTTCATATGAAAAAGGAATATAAAAGCCCTTATCGATCAGAGCTTATCGATCATTTTTCCTTTTATGTCAAGGTGATAATATTCTGGACGTCTTGAGGTACCACTTAAGGTCAAAAGAGCAGCACTTACCCAAGGACACAGTTCTGAGGGCGAGGACGGAAAGGGGAATGGGATGGAGGCAGGAAGTACCAGGAGGAAGGCGAGTTTGCGCGAGTACAGGGAGGGCACTGCGATGGGTGTGTTGGAACACCATGTGTAGGAATGATTGCATGTAAAACTGATGATCTGCTCTGGAAACCTTGACCTAATTCACAATAAGAAGTTTAAAAAATGTCTTGAAGTGAGTTGCACTGCTTCTTTCACTTGTTTCAAATGGTAGATGGAGCTCCGACTCTATTTCTATTGGACAGTGTGGCTGCCGAGGGTCGTTGTTGGGCACCCATGCTAGGTTCTAACTCACTGTGATCCCATGTACAGCAGAATGAAGCAGTGCCCAGTCCTGCGCCCTCCTCACAACTGTGGCTATCCTCGGGCCCATCGTTGTTGCCACTGTATCAAACCATATGATGAGGATCTTCCTCTTTTTCACCAACCCTCTCCTTTACTAAGGGAGCCCTGGTAGTGCAGAAGGTGATGCCTTGGAGTACTAACCACAAGGCCAGCAGTTCAAATCTACCAGTTGCTGCACAGAAGAAAGATGGGACTTTCAGCTCCCATAAAGATTTACAGCCCAGGAAACCCAGAGAGGGTAGTTCTACTGTGTCCTCTAAGGTCTCTGAGTCAGACTCGGCTTGATGACAATGAGGTTGGTTTTCACATGATGTTTGGGTTCAGTGTTGTCCTGATTCAGGGACTGGTCTCTCCTAATAACACGCCCAAAGTACACGAGACCAAGTTCTCTATCCTCACCTCTAAGAGTAATCAGGCTCTACTTCTTCCAAGACAGATTTGTTCTTTCTTCTTTCATTCTCTGGCACCTTTAACAGTCCTCACCAGCAACATAATTCAAAGGCCTGCACCTGCATTCTTCTTGGGTCTGCCTTATTAATCATCAGCGTCTGCACGCCTAGGAGGCGACTGAAAACACCATGGCTTGGGTCGGGTGCGCGTTCACCCTCAAAGTGGCGTCTGTGCTGTTGAACACTTGAAACAGGTCTTTTGCAGCAGATTCGCTGGATGCAATGCATCACTTGATTTCTTGACTGCTGCTTCCAGGGGTGCGGATGGTGGGTCCAAGGCAACGAAAATCTCTGACAACGTGAATCCTATCTCCATGGATAGTGATGCTACTTACGGTCCAGTTGTGAGGATGTTGGTTCTGTTTTGGTGGCGTAGTGGTTATGCATTGGACTGAGATCTACCTGGTCAGAAGTTCCAAACCACCAGCCCTTCTGAGAGGAAAAGACCTTCTTTCAATTCCCCCCAACAATTACAGTCTCAGAAACTCATCCGGACAGTTCTACCTGGTCCTTTAGGATCTTATGAGTTGGCTTCAACTCAATGGCAGAGTTTCAAAAATTTTTTATTATTGTTTTATTTATTATGAGGTGTAATCCATTCAAAATGAAGCTTTAGATCTTCAATAGTAAGGAAGGTTGTTACAAATGCAAATTATGAGGCTTTTTCCTAGACCAGAAACTTGGGGTGTGGCGCCCCCAAATCTTTCTTTTCAAGAGCCGTGTAGGTGATTATGGTGCAAATTCAAGTTTGAGGACAATGGCTCTAATTTATTCTCAGTTACAATAAGCTAGAGATGAAAAGATTTTATCATCTTCAGGAATTTTGCAGGCAGTCAGGTGCTGCTAGAACTCTGGCTTTGCCACGGAACTAGCTTTGTGCTCTTGCACATGTTGTCTAAGCCTCAGTTAACCCATCTTTAATTTAAGGCACGATGTAGCTATCTTCCTGGTGTTTTGTCCAACTTAATGGAATGCAAAGTGCTTAGTATATAGCAAGTATTCAAAACAGTATTTGGACTCCACCCGCCACCCCCCTACCAAAAAAACCCCAAACCAAAAAAAACACCATTTTATTAGGAGATAATCCAGACATCATACCATTCAATCATTCGACCATATCAAGCAGTGTTGTACAATCACTCCCATAATCATTTTAAAACCATTTTCGTTCTTTTTGTACTCCTTGATACCAGCTCTCTGTTACTGACCCCCATCTCCCCTGCCATACCTCCCAAGAACCTTTATTCTAGTTACTGTTTGCACAGAATCACCCAACCGGGCCTTCACACACTAGAAAACATAGAACACAAACAGAATCAAGAAGGCTACCAACAATAACAAAATACAATTAAGATTTTTTCCTCAATTTGAGAAAAAAAATGAAAATATGAAAAACTAGATCAAGCACAAAGTGTATCAAAAGGGAGATCTAACGACAAGATCTTAACCAGTCAAGCCGATTTATCATTTAAATCTATTACAATCGTCTCTCCAACAGTCTGTCTGATCACCAGGCTATTCCCATCCCTCAATATGGTCCAAGGGAAATCACAGAGCCTTATTCCATATGTAGACCCAGTGAAGGTATTTTTGGTGTACACTGCTCTCTATAGTCTGCTGCAAACAAGACTTTCACAATTTACGCTCTGATACCGTTCCCTCCTTCGGATTTGGATTATTGAAGTTTCAATCCTTGGATCACGGGTGTTGGAGTGCTTCTTCCACATGAGCTTTACCTGACGTCTCACTGAAATGGCTGCTTATTTGAAAATGGCATTTTTAACCACCATTATTTTCACAAGGATTCCAGAGATATCTTTTGGTTCAAGATCCCAAAGATTTCAGCCTTTTCTCTTCATAGATCATGAGCTAGTCACTGCAGAGCATGTTTGGAGGAACAGTGGGAAAATGCCTATAAACTCTATTTCTGCCCAACTCAGAATCCTGCAGTCCGACAATGCTTTACATGGGCAGGTAAACTGGATGTTACTAGTGGGCAGTGGTATAAGAAATGATCCAGACATACAGTATTCCCCTGTCACAGACGTCTGGCTAAAATGAAAAAACAAAAACAGCAATGTGGGCATGTGGGCAGTATACTATTCTGGAGTGTCCATCACCAATGATTCAGTAGATATTTAAGGAACTTCCACTAAATGCAAGAAACAGGTTCTGGAAATTCTGCAGTAAATAAAGCTCATTAACAATCACTAAGTAGACCCCCCCCACCAAATAAACAAATGAGATAATTACCACGTGACCCTTGACTCCTTGAAAATAGGACTTCCACCTTGCTTGTCTCTGCCATCTTTATACCTAACCCAGTGCTCAATACACCAAGCCAAAAGCCAAACTCACCGCCACCGAGTCCTTGCCAACTCATAGTAACTGTACAGGACAAAGTAGACCGGCCCTTTGATTTTCTGAGACTGAGCTTGTTCATGGGACTAGAGAGTCCTGTCTTTCTCCTAAGACGCAGCTGCTGGTTTCTAACTGCTGACCCTGAGGATCAAAGCCCAAGGCAATAACCACTACATCACCGGGGTGCCTTGCGCAGCACACAGTAGGTCCTTAGCACATGTTAATTTTCAGCCTTCTATTTCTTCTTAGAGACATGGATGTTTCAGAAC